GTGTTCGATCATCGTTGTCTCTGTAGGGCCGCCCATATCCGGTGACAACACAATGTATGCAGTTCTGAGGTACGATAGCGTGTATCTGGGCATGATGGAAGTCATCATTCAATAAGTGAAGTCATCTGGAAATACCAGCTTCGGTGACTCGGGATGTGTTACGCATGTCGTCCCAATGGCTTCCATACCGTTCATTGTTTGCAAGCCCTGGGGCTGGAACTAAATGGAAGAAGCGGAGGGATGGTAAGTTTGTGACGTAACTCCATTGGATGAAGGATATTTGTATAAGTTCAGCATCTATTGGTGCATCACGACTCCCTGGGTGGGGTCCGAGAGATCACGCAACTCAATGGCCTGAGACGTTATTAGATATGGCTCAGAATCGAAACTAGTGGTGGTCATGGCATAGCTTCCTTCTATCTCTACTGCTGAAAAGTAATGAGTGTTTTGTTTTGAATGTACCTGCTGAACTGCCTTTCTAATCATTCTATTCTTTTTGTACCTTTCTTTGTCAGTTTCCCACTTCTTTATGTCTTCAAAAGAGTTTTATATTATTTTGTTTGGCACATTTCTCGATATCCTTATCGTACCATGTTTGTGTTCAAATGACAATAATTAATACCTGTTACACAGAGTCCCCGTTGAACAGCACTGAGTCAGGGCTAATGGATATTAGATGATACGGTCAGACATTTTTGAGAACTGTTTATGACTCCTATGTAAACAGGAAGTCTCACTAGACTGGTTTAGATAAAATGATAATCCTATATCCAAGCGCATGAAGAAGCTGGTCAACATCAGTTATATTATTACTGACCACTGAAATATTTTGAAAGTTTGTGTGTATGGTTCAGTCGTACAGAGAATGAGCAGTCATGAAATCAGTGCATTAAGGGTACAGTCTCTAAGATTGGTTCGATACTGGCCAAATATTTATTATGCCATAGTTTACTTAGTGGTCAGTGGTGGAATCCAGAATACGCCCTTCGTCCTGTTTGGAACTCAGCAGCTGGATGCGCCTGCACTTCAGTGAGTGATGATGTTCTCACTGAGACTCAAAACCAGCACCCATTCCTTCGAATGACAAGGCATTATCCACTAGGCCTTTTGTAGAATAATGAACGTTCGGGTAGTATCTAGGTCCTAGCATAGAAGCCCATCTGTCGACAGAAGCCAGAGAGTCCGACATGATGTAGCAACGGGAAATTAAAAGTACCAATAAATAACAACTCGTGGATCTCTTACCTTAGGGACGTAGTAGATGAAGCTTTAGCGTTTGAAACATTGGTCAATTGGTTCGAATCCCAGGAGGGACATAGTCACTCATTAGGGTGCATGTAGGCCCGCTGACAAGTTACTAATAGGAGGCTTGTATGACTCATGCTCTACCTAAAATCATTGTACGTGTTCAAAAGTTGAGTCACAAGATCTTATACTATTTTGACCCTCCTGTTTATTTGCAGAGTGACCTTGGATTGATCGTTCACTGCATAGAATTTAGTAACATTCTCTCCAGTCCTGAGCACTGACTGAATTCTATTGATTAAACCTTGGTTTTAGGTTTGCTGGCGCTCATCAGTAAGGTGTATCTGCAATCTTGAAGAATCTCTTATCTCATCTGAGATTCGGACCTGCATCAGTTATGCTACCACTACTACGGCTTGAATAGTCTAGTCTCTACGAAACTAGGATGTCAGATGTTGGGTGCAGTATTCAGCAACTAACATGGCAACCACCACATGAGTACTGTTTAACAGTTTGATAGCAGAAAAATAAGATCCCACATACTCAACGTTATTGTTCGTTTTGAAAGCATCCTAGTGATGATTTTAGTTTTTGTATATGCATTGAAATGACTAATAGCCATATTAGAAGTATTGTATGCAAGTTTTATATAAATTTTCCTTTTTATCATATGGTATGGTATGGTGTGTATGTGACTCACCGTTATGTATGCGGGCTTTTCATCTGTCCAACTGTTTGTATCTTGTCTGTCTTTTCATACTTTTTCATATGTTGTACAAGACAAACTTTATGTTATTCTCAAATAATCATGCCGAATTAATCTAAGTTAGTAGTAAATAACTTTACTGATAATTTCTGACCAAAGTATGGTTTGTTTAGTCCCCTTTTCTTTTTACCCTTTTTTGTTTCTTTAATTTTTATAAAACTGTAAATTTGACCTACCACATCGATACTTCTCTCTGTATTGGAACGGTTAAAACATTTAGTCTGACGCCAATTTAATCTGGCACATTATGATCTCTTTGCTATCCAACACATGAATACTTCAATGTTATACTTTGTTTTCTTTTGGTGTGTTTTACTTTTCCTCACAGTCTAGTGAAAACTATAAGTGTACAAGAATATTTACAAAAGATTTTGTTACGGATGGTGATGATTAAAAAGGTATCATTCTGATCAAATAACTTGTTTGTATTCATGTAAATTAATCCCCTTAACACATTCACTTCACTTACTATCCATTTCACCTTTCATTCACAGCTAGAAGGCATAATTAGTCAATTGAATAGATTAATTAATTATTTTGTGGCTCAGACTTTTGGATTGTAGAATAAAAGATATCTACTAGGTTATAGACAGGCATAGATATTCATCATACAGTCAAATAATCATCAACTTAATTATAATCATGACATGAAAACATCATCTACCAATCCGTATGTTTTTCTAATCGCCATCGATAAACTGACATTTCCATTATTTTTTCTCTTTTAGACATGTCTGAGTTGATAGAATCGCAATCTTTTTGTGAAACGATTTTGCCTACTTATGAGTAGGTTATTTTTTAACACGTCATTTTGAGGATCACCTTGTATCCTCTGAGCTTCGGATATGTCTCACCATTCTAAGTACTCTAGTACTGAATGACATGTATTCAACTTTTTCAGTGGATATGAGTTTTCCAAGTAGAACAGAGATTCACACTACCATAAATTACGGTCAAACAAGGCTTTCGACTTAACAACTATCATTCAACAGTGGAAGTCATCGTTTTCCAGATGCTAGTATCTATCCTTACTTCAGAAGATATGATATATGTTTTTATATTCATTTCACTTAGCGCCTAGCTATATTAGGCCATCAGTTATTTTTGGCTACGTCAACCCTTTTGGTTGCGGAAGGGTTCGGATCCATAATCCAGTGATTGATAGCCAACTATCTAGCAAAGTTAATAATTATCCACATTGGAAAGCTGGTAGCACTGGTCAACTGTTTCACCCTAGCATGGGACTTCTCAGCGATGCTCACCCATGACCCCACCCTCTAGGGCTCGAATCCAAGACATTCGGGTTTTGCGGCCAGTGAGCCACTGGGTCGCAATCCAATGGTCCATGTTTCCTACTTCTGTAAGTCCACGATACAGAACGACCTCCATCCAGTGCTGCCGCTGAGTAACTGTCCTCATGCTCGAGTCGGTTGACTCCACTGGTCACGACTTCTCATTGGAACTTCAGGAACCACCAATTTGAAATCAATAAACCCCAACAAACCCACAAATGGAACTGACCTAGTGTTCATTGGTGACTGGCTTCGAGAAGTAATTCCCGAAGACCGGTGGGGCAAACATTGTGACAGTGGGGACAAATACTCGTCAGTGACATTGGGTGACAGTCTCGCTATGTCGTGAACTGACAGAAGTAGGAAATATGAACCATTGGATTCCAACCCAGTGGCTCAATGGCAACATGATGGCCGTGGAACCTGAAGGTGCTGGGTTCTATCCATTTAGGGCGAGGTCATGGGTGATCACTGTTGCGGATTCTCATACTGGGATGAAATAGCTGTTCGGTGCTCCAATGTTCTTCCAACTGATGTCAGTCCATGATGAATACCAACTTGAAACCAATCTATAATTCCCCACAAACCTTAAATTGAATCCAAAAATAGCCACCAATCAACAGGTCACGGGTTTGAGCCCTGCCTCACCATCCGAATTTATGGTAATTAAGTAGTGTCATTAGTTCCCACAAATTGCTTAGTGCACGTGTGCAAACAAGGTTGAGGAATACATTTCTTTCGTTCGTTTCATTCACTCTAATCTTTTCAAGTGGCTCCGTACTTTCTACTTTACCAATAATAAATATAATTAAGTTATAATGTACTTGGTGGTTAGCAGTGGGAACCACAACATATGTTTCGTCCTATTCGGGGCACGTCACCTGGGTATGCCTACACCCCGATGAGTGAGTTTGTCCTCATTGGGAGCTGAACCCGGTGCGCTTCGCTTCAAACACCAAAGTCTTATCCACTAGCCCATTGATGAGTTGAAAGTAGGACGAAATACACGTCGTAGATTCGGCTACTAACCGACAGAGATCGATAAGTTCGATCCAGAATAACAATGAGGAATTACAAGTATCAAAAAATAATCATATCTATCATCGTCCAAAGTCATATGTTTCTGTGAACTCAATATTAGACGACTATATATAAACTGATAAATTTGGTGCAATAATAGACTAAGGGGTAGGGTAGGGTTGACAGATTGACATTCACTTCGATTCAGAGGTTATTAAAGTAAATGTCTGAGATTTAGATCATTCAAAGAATGGTTTGTTTTTTCATTGCATTGGCTACTCAATAGCCACTTTTTCTCTGCATAACATGCATTTCTAATCATTTGGATTTCATGCGAAAAGTATTTCTAAGATAGTATCCATCACAAACTGACATCACCTGGAGGACCATTGAACACTCGAGAGCACTGGGCAGTTATTTATTCCTGATATGAGACACTTCGGCAGTGCGCTCCGTGACTCTACCCGGATCCAAATATAAGAGTCGTAACTTCAACCCCTGGTGGGGTCATGGGTAAGACTGCTATCCAGTGCTCTCAAGTGTTCAGTGGTTCTCCAACTGATGTCAGTCCATGATGAAAGTGAAGAAAACAAACTAGTTACTTCATCAAGTGTTGTTTCTATGATCAACAGATTTTTCTTATTTCATCCTCCCTTCTTTCTGAAATTTTCTCTTAGTTTGAAGATCAGTGACTCAACTGCAAGACAAGATAAAGATAGTGACGAGAAAAATGATAGAAAACTGGAATCTGTTCAAACCAGACGGTATTCTGCATTGTTTTCTCATAAACAGGAAATAATAATTATGCCCAATAATAATAATAATAACAATAATAATGAAAGGTCAGAAAATGTTTCACTACCAAGGAGTGTCACAACAACAGGACAACAACAACAACAGCTGACACGACTGTCTGTCAAGGACAAATCAAACTCTCTCAATGTTCACTTTCAGCAGGTAAATCATACTTCATGAAGCTATTAACTTAGTAATATATGGAAGTTAGCGTATGTCAGAAGGATAATTAAAGTTCATTAAGAACCTATCTACCTGTCGTTTTTAATAAATTTGAACTTTTTCCTCAACCAACCTAACCATGAGACTAAAGTTGCTTTTGTCTATGTAACAGAGTATTACAGTATATTGTCCATTGTATAATCTAAGAATGTTGATTCAAATCCCTAGTATGACTTTGATTTGCCAACATTAGCTGTTGGCCTTGTGTACATTAGTCAGACTTTCGATTTCCTCTACCTCAGGTAATCCAATTCGACATCAGTCAGTAAGCCATCCTATCTAAAAATCTGGTTGTATAGTTAGTGTCATAATTTTCAACAGTTTACTTGTCAGTCAACCGCAACAGTCAAGACACTCGGTAATTGGAATGAAAATACAACCTTAAACCTTGAAACTCAATTGATGCACCATGAAACTATTGGATATAGGCCAGTGATCTGCAAACGTGTCACACCTATCCTCAGATACTGATCTTACAGCTGGAAAGTGATCTCATCCTTGTTAGGTGAAGCGGATTTACCCACTCCCGCCTATGGGTATTGTGATATGTTAACCTGTTCTCAATCGACAGGTATTAACTCTGTAGGGACTGGCTCGGCCTTTTGAACCATATGTGTATGAGATCTGTTATTAAGCAACCTTGAGGAGAAAAAAGACGCTTGACCCTGTTATTGCGCTCACTAGACAGAACTCAGCTTGTTTTATGTGACAGTAATCAGTTCATTTCATATGAGACGACATAGTTTAAAGAAAAAATTATAAGAAAAAAACACCGTTTTATTTATATGATTTAACACATTTAAACGTTTATTTCTAAAACCTATTGTGCTGCAATGTTGCGTTTCATGTGAGGTTGTGGCTTATTTGTTTAGGCGATTGACTTCCACCTAGTAGGTTGCAGGTTCTAACTCTGCGGCGCTTACTGAAGTTTGTACAGTCAGTTAGTATAGTTAGCCCTTGCATAAAAATAAGTATAGCTCGCTGCCTGATGCACGAATGTGCACAAGGTTGATGAGTGGGTTTCTATACGGCTTCATCTCATAGCTCAATGTTCTCGTATGAAATCAGCTTCATAGACTTTGGTCAGCAGTAAAGTCGTGATAGCTGGAGACATTTCCATCGAGTGATCGATTCAGACCAATGTTCATCATTGATTGAGTGATATTGTTATCACATTGAACATATTCTTGAACTAAGCTGCGGTAAATGTTACGCAATTTACTTCTTAAGATTAGGGTGAATCAAAACACTAGTCGATAAAATAGCTTTCAGTTCTCTTCATTTTCGCCCCAAGTGACCAAAATCGTCAGTACTAATTTTAGTATCAAGCAGCGTATCAGGACTCACTAACTTGCTCTAACAAGTCGGTGTATTATTACTAGTTTCCCTTGACCTTTGACCTTGGAGTTATTTATATCACTTCAATTGATGGTTAATAGATTGAGTCTATGTCTATACATATATTGATTCCTGAATGACCTCAGTGGCAAACTTCCAAGGAAGGGGGAGGTTCCTGTGGTATTCTTTATGTTTCCTCCATCCAAGATCTCTTCTAAATTTTTAATAGTGAGTTCATATCTATAGCTGTCAGCATGCAGTGATATGAGTGATGAATTGTCGTGATGTCTGTTAGCCTATTGATTTTTACGTATATGAAAGCAAAATAGACGACCACTTTTGTCCAATGTAGGGGTTAGTCGAAGTTGGCTTTGTAAATAGTATTTGCTTTGTCTTCTTTCGTCTGCATAGTGAGGTGTAAAGGGGATTTACTGGTTTATCACCCAGAACTATACGGAATGGTGCCAGTAGTCTTGTCGGGATCTACTTATATCTGGTAAGATAGTGAGTTTGCTGGTTTCCAAGGGTAACTTTATATTTGACGATTAACTGGACACGAGTCATCTCATGAAGCCATATGGGTAACCTTTCTCTTTTGGGAGTGATATTAGGTAATTTTCTTCGATTCTCGTGGAGTTGTACTGCAGTGTGTTTTGCTGTTTTGAATCAAGTCACTGACACTGTAGTTGGAGATTTGACCAATGTACGCTTGATTCCATGATTTTCGGCATTGTTTCTACCGACTAAAACATCTAGGAATGGTTGTTTGTTGTTCAACTCCTTCTATATTGCTTTCTACGTCATCCTTTCTAGTGTTGACGGCAGTATCCTTTATATAGCGGATCCAAATTTTCGGTCTGATCACCTTTAAAATAATGCCTTCTAATCTCTGCATTACTTCTCCATTTAAATCAGATATCGGTGATCTCATTGAAATTCCTTTCATTGGTTTGAATATCTTACCATTAGATTGGAAGTATGCTATCAGATATAGGTGAATGAATTCCATCCGACTTGAACACTGAAGTCTTATGCATTATAAAAGTCTTGTATTGTCGATGAGGAAGAGAGACTTAGTATCTTTGGTCACTTGTGGTCCAATTGATGTGTCTAATGCTGTGACGGCGAAGGACACCACTAATTTGTCGTTCTCTCTCGTTGATGCCTTTTATTCTTCCCAAGAAAAAGCATCATTTGCTCAGTTTTTCCGTACGACAGTAGGATCATCACATGACATATTATTCTGCATTCAGTCTATCAAGAAACCAAAAGAGCTCACTGCTCACCAACCCTTAGATTAGAGTGAAACCATTGTCAGGGGGTAGTTATTTTCCATAGTTCTTTAGCCCACATAATTCTATGATGAGAAACCCTTTAATGAGTTAACCAGCTGTTGGAAACGTGAATGAAGACTTCAAACTACTGTTTGCTGGATGATAAGTACAGACAACATTTCATGAATCATTCACTCTGTTGAAAAATATCGGAATGTTGAGGTCAAAGACACAGGATAAATGAATATGGTATGATTTCATTTAAAGATACCCAGTTGAAGATTATTTGTAATGCGAAAGTTGTATGTAAGTCGAGATGACTATGATATAGATAACCTAACAACTACTGAAATTTAAATCCAGCTCCCCCCTGGTGTAGCGAAATCTAATTGGTTATTTCATTGGAAACTAAGTTGACCTTCGGAGTTGACCAATATCCTATGCATATTACACTTTCTTCACTGTTCCCTTCCGTAGAAAATGACTGATAAATCTAAATTTGTGGATGCCAGACGTACAACACCCAGACAGCTGAAACAGCATCAGTCAAAACGTGGTCATCTAATACTCTCCTCGTCAACAGCATCACCGGAAACAGTAGAGGGTGATTCAGGTGAAAAATCCTTATTCAATCATTCCCTGTCAGAGAAGAGTAGAACTACGGGGAATTATCACAGTTCTGAAATGAAACCAGTTATACACAACAAACACATCCCAGTGATATTGCCTCATCTCTTATTCGTACAGCGAGTTTACATTTGAAAACCACATTATCACGATTAAAACGTTCAAATAATGGACATGCAAATAAAACTTTAGATACTACAACTGCCAATACTACTACTACTACTGCGGAGATATCTTCCACAGATAATGTTGACGATTCAACACTGCGTCGTTGTTCTGTTCCTTATGCAAATAAATCGATGAAACTTGTTACAAAGGAATGCGATAGAGGGTCAGATAATGACAGCAATTCTTTATCACCTGGATGTACAAAATGGTCTACACGTTTAGGTCCTCCACCACCGTGTACAGTGAGTACTGCTGTTGTATCATCAAGTAATCTAATGTGTCCAAAATGTACTTCTTTGCCGACTTATACAACTACAATTACAACAACTAATTGCACTAGAATACCAGTAAGTGGGGTAAATGAACAACCACTTGATAAATCTGATGGTGAGACTAGAGATTGTTCACTTCGGTATCCATATACCACGACTTCTACTGTCAATACAACTACTAGGAGTAGGAATGCGGATAACGTAATGAATTCATTGCCTGTATATGAAACAAATGAAATTAGTATACTGCCTGATGATTGTGTAGATTTCGGGACATTCGGTCGAATCAACTTTCGTACTGGTAGTTTTATGGGTCGTTATCCAAATTATTCCCGTTCAAATCAACTGCAGCAACATTCACGGGGTCAACATTCAAATATTCAACATTATCATCAACAACATCAACGTCTTCCAGAGTATAGACCACTTTATTTGTCTGTTCAACAGCATACCTTATCATCTGGGAATACAACACGATCTGCGCCATCACCAAGTCTTTCATCAATCACATCGACACATGGTGTACTATCATCTCCGGTATATCAGGAACAAATAAATCAACGTCTTCATCAATATAAGCCTGGGACTTTGAAAACATCATCTGCATCATCAATTACATTGACAGGACCGATACGCATATCGAAAGGTTATTCTATGCATAAACAACAAACAATGAGTGGTGGACATATGTATCATTTAAATTCTGATGACTATTCAATACCTATTCAGTATCAGGATATTCTATCTGCATCGCGTATAAATCCTCATCCAGCATTGGATCCGATTCTAGCCCGCCTATTGTCAGATGTTACAAGTATTGATGAGTATAGATCTACTTTACAACCTCATGGTGAGTAACCTATTAACGATTATTATTCATAAAAAGCGCCTATATATGTAGGATATATTGGTAATTTAAATTGTTTTTGTTATATGTTTAGACGTATACAGATGTGTAAATTATTGATTTATCTTCAGTTATTTGATGTAATCTTGTATAGAAAGCTGTTTGCTTAGGGAAGAGTATTCCATCACAAGTAGAAATTAGCCTAACCACGTATATCAACAATTTTCCAAAGGGATCCAATGGCAGCTACTTGTTAGGTAGGAGTCTGATATTGTATTTTTCTCAACCCAGTTGAATTTTGTATTGAGGTATATGAGGACTAGACAACTGATCAGAATTGCAAAATGCAAATAAACACACACACACACACAACTGTTGAATCAATTCAACAATGCTGACTGGTAATCTGTGATGTCGTATGAACAAAGCATACCTATCTCTCACTCATATGCGGCAGTAGAATACAATTTAGAAAGAATGAATTGACAGCAAAACGAGATGTACCAGTATAACATGCATACTTGAATCTATGCATTCACACGTATATTATCAACTTAAAGAAATCATTAAGGCAACAGGTGATAAATGAAGTGGAAAGGAAACAAAGAGCAAAATGATTGAACGTGAATGTTTGCACGTGCTTACTTGGATATGACACATATGCACGCAAGCAACGGATTTAAGTTCTTCTTACACGATAAAAAAAGGTAATGATTCACAATGTATTTTTCAGATGATTTGGGATTTTAATTTAGAGGTAGTATTCATCGCAGACTGACATCAGTTGGGGAACCACTGAAGACCTCGTAGCACTGGACAGTCGTATAGTCCTAGTGTGGAACTTCTCAGCTGTACGCACATACGACCCAGATTCGGACCGAACTCACAACTTCAGGTTTCACGGCGAACGCGTTAACCACTCAGCCACTGGGTCGGTTTTCAGTGGTTCACAGTTTCTAACTTGTGTCAATTTACGATGTAGCACGACTATCACCCTAGATCTTCAGTTGGCGTCCGCTTCCCTTCCGAATGGTTGACTCCAGATGGATATCACGAAGATCTAATGAGAAGCTGTCACCTGTAGGGTCAAGCATTCGAAAGGGAAGCGGATGCCAACTGAAGACCGCTCTATATGGTGAATTGGCGGATGTGGGAAACTATAAACCATCGAACTTCTACCCGATGGCTGAATGGTTAACGCGTTCGCCGTGAAACCTGAAAGCCATGAGTTCGATCCGTATCCGGGTTGTGAGTGCGTACAGCTAAGGGGTTCCATACTGGGATGGAACAGTTATTCACTGCTTCCAGGTCTTCAATGGTTTCCTAACTGATATCAGTTCATGATAAGTACTACTTCTAGGTTCACTATTGATTTTTTTCATTGCTTTTTCTATTGTGTTATAAATGAACTGTTACAGATTACAAGAAGCAGGAAGGAGAAAGAAAATAAAGAAGAGAGAAATATACTTATATAGGACATATTTAATCAACCATTTGTGAAATATACTGAAATTTATAATTTCCCATTGCTATACTGAGTCGTATTGTCCAACCTCTGTTGGCAGATCGACTCGTATTTGGAAGTCTTGACTCTTATTATATATATTGCAGTCTACTTAGCAGCTAGAGGTTGAATTAAAGACGTGCGTTTCGTCGTATTTGGGACACTTAAGTTGGGTGTACCTGTACCCCAGTGGGTGAGGTTATCCTTACTGAGGCTCGGACTCAATATGAATCGCTTCCAACATCAAAGCGTCATCTACTAGGCCACCACCTAGTGGTCTGGTGATTGGTTTGAGTTTAAATGAGGGCATTACTCACTGGGATTTATCACAAAGTCTGTTCCAACAAACTTTTTCATGAGCTGACAAAAGTTAGAAAATTTGGATTACAGAACTTCTACCCAGATGCTCAGTTGTCTAGAGCTCCCAAGTTTCCAATATTTCTCCAGTTGATGTTAGTAAATGATGAATACCAATTTGAAGTCAGTAAGTGAATCCCCATAAACCAGCGAATGGATGGTAAAAATCACTGATTGTATATAGCTACTGCGTCTCCTGGTATTCAGGTTGTGCACCGATCGTCATTTATTGTGTCATTATTCTGTAGGCTGTTGAAAAGTCTTAAGGATACAGGTCATCATTGGAAGTTCATCAGGAGGATTTATCAAACCTTCAACACTATATGGCAGCAAGTTGTCGTGCTACAAAAATAGTCTGTGAGATGAATGCTTAGAATTTTCTGCTGTTGGGACTGACTGAAGTTATCCAGTAGTGACTTTCTCATAGGAACAGAATTAGTGACACGAACGTATCTGACTAAATGGATTCTACAAGGAAATTTGATCTGTAATCGTGTGAACTACTAAATATTTATATAAACGTTTAGATGGTGGCTTTTAAATCCCAAGATGGATGGCAGAAGGTGAATGGAATCTCTTTATTAACACGTCAATGACTGCAGTCAATAATTCATAGTGAAATGTATCTGTGAGTCTGTTAAACATACTCATATGCCTCATATAGTGTACATGAGTCAGTTGATATGATTCTCAGTTGTTGTGCTTGCTTTTTAGGAGAATCATAGACAAGAAAAACGGGTTAATATTGTTTTCTAAGGAAAGAACACTCTGATGAGCTCCATTTCTGTGTAACTTTGTCAGTGAGAGAATCTGTCGTAGTTATGTGTTGTAGCTGCTAATTGATCATGCATAAGACAGTCAACATTTTATCTGAGATGAGCAAACTTTTGTGAACTATCTTTATTTACTTGTGATTCTCCAGGCTAGTTAGACAAATAATGATTCTGTATTTGGGTTAGGTTAAGTAAGACAGGTTCTGTTGATACTGTTTATCGGATTTGAGGACAACGTTTGCTCTAGTTAGATCCGAAATATCGTTCTGTATGTACTAGAACTGCCGTATAAAACAGTTTCCCGTTTCTTAAGGGTTACTAAGTTCTTACAAAGTAATACGACCATTCACTATGGAGATATTTGTGGTATATTTAGTTTGCTTCACTGTTGTACTTAAAAAGAACCACCATTTCTAAACACTGTTTAAAGTATCTTTAGGCTTCCTGTTCTATCATGACGAAGAGAATAACGGAAGCTACTGGGTAGTTTCTGAATGATTACTGAAGTATTCTACTTTCGACTCACTCATAATTTAGTTCACTATCTGGCATCAGACTCCAACCGGTATCTTGTGAATTCAGTCGAACTTTCCAAACCATGTAACACAGAAATGTTGCATAATTTACAAACGAAAAAGTACTGAAGTAATGCACTCTGATTTAATTTTAGCTTTTGAGTTATACTACTATCACATTGATAAGTAGCTAAACTAAACTAACTTCAAAAGATCGTGAAAAAAATAGTACGTGCTTTCTATCATTAAAATTCTCTTAGTAAATCGCTAGACTGAATTCATTATACATTTCTAAAATTAAATAGACAAACAAATTAGCTTTACATGTGAAGGTCAGGCCTTTCATGCTAATTCTGTGGCACTCATACATTGCCTATTCTCAGTGCCTAAGCTTTGTAGGATAAAAGACCTTTAGATTTCTCATAGAGCACAGTGGCCTTTAGCTTCTAACCTAATATTGATTTGAGCTGTAATTCATCCTTATAGATATGTTAAGTAATCTAAATCCACTCATTTGAAGTACTTACATGTGTTATGCAAGATATCCCTAAAACTTCTTGAGTAAGATTTTTACTACGTCAGATTTAAAAGAAGCGATAGGATATGTTATTGTTTTTGATTTCCTGCCGTTGATTAAGCCAAATCGATTGGCCACTGTTGCCATATGGGCACTTGTATGGATGACTGGATATTGTCAGTGTTTTCAACTTCAAAATGAATGATGGGTAGTGGCTGGCAGTGAAATCCAGCACACGTGTTTTGGTCCAGTTTAGGGCTCACCAGCATTATATCATTAAGCCACTGGGTCAGGATCCAGTGGTACAGTTCTCATTGGTTTTCAATCGTTCTCCAACTAACGTCAGTCCATGATGATAATTGCTGTAAATAATAATTATTTATTAGATCAATACTCAGACCTTTAAACTTCAGGTAATCAGGTCATAAATGTGTCCATGTACAATTGACTATATAAGCGTGTAGATTATATACCCCTCCATATCGAATATTGATTAATCAATAATTGTACCTTATATCATTTAGGCTCAGTTACTCCTCCATCATCATTGGCAAATCAAAGACGTAATGCTAATCAACTGCATATACCATTAGCATCAAGTGATCCAGAGTCGATTTCACGATCTGCTGAACGTTTATCTGGCATCAATTTATCAGCTCAACAAAATATTATGGATGACGTTTGGGATTTAAACAAACAAATTGGTGATTTAATACAAATGGAATTCGATTATAGACAGAAACAACCAACAACACTGAAATCACAATCACCTCATGGTACTTTAATTTCAGGTATTTCTACAATTGGGCCTAGAAGTTCAGCTCCTAAGTAGGTTCTTTTTGCATAACTTGACTTTCATCTACTCATTGTTTGTAAGTAGTACAAATACTTTTGATACGTTTTTTCACAATTTTTCATGCTGTTGCTGTCATGCGGGTTCAGAATGATAACCACTGATACTATTGGTAATAAAGTACTTACCTTTTCTGGTAATCATCAGTCTAAAATATGTCTAGTTGAATGGAAAACAAGATTTCACTTCAAGATCTATTATTTCAAAAGGTTTTCAATAGTCTTTAGAAGTTAAAACCGGATAATGAATATTCATCATTTTGTTTAAAAGTACTATGAAAATTCGGTTTCACTTTCAAAATAATAGTAAAAGGTGACGAGGCCCCTCTCTAAGGCATAGAATTCAACTGGTTTTCAGTGAAATCATAGAAATAAATTTACAGATTGTTTCTGGAGGATTATTTCTAGAGGAAAAGAATGAAAAATGGAACATATTTATAAAGGTGAATTTAAGACACCTTAGCAACCTCTCAGAAAATGAGCAGCTGGAACTTCTATTGGACGAAACGTGCATCCTAGATCCCACTGCTAGCCACTACACATCAATCGTATCAGATTTGAAAAATACCGGTAATATCGAAGCATCTGCAGAGGAGCCCAAATACAAGTGGTGGCGGACTCATTCGATCCAATCGATGACGGAGATTTATGAGCCTTAACATCAAAGACTGTACGACACCCATCGCAAAGTCAGTGGCTACTACGACTAAATGGCCTAATGGATAATGACCTAGCATTTGAATTCTTTTGGTTCTGGGCTCGAGTCCTAATGAGTAGAGCATCATTTACTGGGAGGAAGATACATCCAACTAAAGTAAAAGCGGTTACCATAAAGATATTTATCCATTTGACTTGATAACATTGCATCATCTGAACTGTGATGTAGATGCAAATAATGCCTTCTAGCAGTTAAGTTAAATTCTAATGAGTCTGTGCGGTCGGAGATTAGTAAACAAAGAATGAGGAGGTTCTTTTGAGTACTGGTGAAAAGATAATATAAAAAATAACTTCCTTCTGCTCAATCACAATTATCATCAAAATTGTGCATAAGCCTATCTGTAATCAGTGAAATCCTTCCAATAACTCAAAGCTTTCCTGAAAGATGACACAATCACCTCCAACTTGATTTGCTGCTTCAAGGTCATTTGTGGTCGTTCAAGGATGGCTGTCATAAAATGTATGAAAAATATATAAAGCCTATTCAGGATGTCAAAAGATTTGAACAAAAGGTAGACATGTGATTTTCAGTAGCGGAATCCAGAACCTGCGTTTCGTCCTGCCGGGTCCTCGTCAACTGATTGTACCTACCCTCTCTAGTGACTGATTTTGTTCCCACTAAGACTCGAACCCAGGGCGAATCGCTTCAAAACGCCAGAGCCTTACTAACTAAGCCATTAACTAACGATTGTCACTGCTTTTGTAATATAAAAGATTGACACGTTGAGGACATTCGTGATTGGTTGGTTCTGTGTAGTCGAAAATAGCGCCGATGAATATTCAGCACTTAGTTTATCTAACTCAAATTTCAGATTTTGGTCTTGTGATCATTACCATTTAACTGTTTAGGGTATGCATGACCCTTAGATGAAGCCATACCTTTGAATCTTACCACTCAACGTAGTCACCTAGGATGACAATCAGTAGAGTATGACTAGTATATATTCCTTTCCTCAGTATCATACATGTTCTGTATTGATGAATACTCTTAAGCTGGAAACTTAGATTTGACAGGATTCCCTGTTAGTCAACTTCAAAGAAGAAGCATCCAGTTAGTGTATCGTTTCCATCTTACCACCTAGCTACTGAATTTCAATCACCGTCCGGGAACTACACACCACAGTGACCTCTATCTGGAAGTTAACTTATTAACTTAGGTTTGGTAAAATAGATTTGATGGTTTGTCTTTAGAAAGGATGCATTTAAACAGTTTTATGGTTGAATACATGAATAAACTTTACAAATTAAATCAGTTCGTCAATAAGAACAATTTATTTACATTTTCTCTTTCTTTCTGTATGACTTGCAATCTTCAGTTGGTATTAATTTTATCAAATATGACCTGATACTTTCCAAACCTATCAACTCTTTGACAAATTGTTCTCAACTGAACGGTTTCATATCTACTAATTGACGATGGCCCTCCACAAATGATCTGGCTCTTTATTCTTTAAAATGTCAGACTAGAAAGTTCAGTTTCAGACGTGTTCTACTGATGTCTGTCTATCGGAGAATGTTACAAGTCTGGTTTATTACGGGGCGTATTTTTCGTCGAATCTTTCGTGGTCTTACTATATCTTACTAATTTCCAAAAGAATTTTCCGCCTAACTTACTATATTAGGAAACTGAGAGTATATGACATAGCTCAGCCTCTTCTCTTGTGTTTTATAAACTCCTGCATCTTGTCTATTCTCTTCTCTTTTCCCCTTTCATTCTTTCCTGAGTTGTTGAAAAAGGCATATACTGTATTTTGCAGAACTTTGAAGATTGTCAGCAAAATTATCGGTGTACCTCTAAACCTACTAGCTAAAACCTTTGTAAACAAATATTTTAACTAATTTGGCTGGAGTTATTTTAACAAATGATCAGCATTCTCTTCAATCAAAGCTCTTTGTGTTTCAGTCCTCAGGTAAGACCATGAGCAAGTATATAAGGCTTTATACACTTATTAGTAAGTATAAAATTTCTACAATACCATATATAACACGTCTCCTGTACGATGAAAAAAGTACCAGAAATGAACTAGCTAATCAATTTGTTTCTGACAGCAAACTGACTAAAGGTTACATAGATATTGTTATTTGTACATACCGAATTGAACTGTTAATGTGATTATTTCCCTAAGTTAACTCTGCATTTGAAGAAATTTGTGGCTGGAGTAAATATTCTTGTCTTATATATATATATATATATATATATATATATATATATATATATATATATATATATAATTCCTACTTACTTCATTTTAGTATGCATACATATACACTGTTTCTGTCTGATTGATGCTGTATAACATGGTGAAAATTCTGTACAGTATTCTCGAAATATCCTTCAGAATAAAGCCATTATAATAATAATACTGATCAATAATTAATGTAATATAATGGTAATAATTTCGCTGAAGTACTCATAAGTAGTTATAGTATCAAAATGAGTTATTCTCCGTTGTTTTTTTCATATATTATTAGTGTAAGAGTGGAGGAGAAGGCTATAAATGATGATGATGATATAATAATAATAATAATAAAGATAGACAACAAACTGATGGAATTGTTCAAACTATAAAGCCTGGAAAATACTCATCGCCAAGAAAGCATCCATTCCGTTGGTCAAGTCGTTCAAGACCATCTCATAAGAAAATAATGTTAGCGTATACACAATCCTCTGCTGGAGGTGATCAACATTGTGGTCAGTTCGTCAATAAAGATGATAGTATAAATCATTTGTCTTCAAGTTCTTTACAGTACACTCCAACTAAATCCATGATGAAGTCAGTAACCAGTAATCCAAATAACAATAATATTAAACTTATTCACAGTTCACCAATCAACTTTGATGATCCCAGTGTACATCAATCCCTAGGATCTAGTCGAAGAGGTACACTTAATACAAGCGTTGGTGTTAATAATACGGAGATTTTACTTCATGAAGCTAGACTAGAAAGAGAAGAGGAGTATGCAACGTTCTGGTCACTTTCTGTTGGACAACTAACAATATTACGGAAATTAGCTTTAATACAATTGGCAAGTTTAGCTGAGAAACACTGTTCGATTAATCGTTCACCATTTAGTTGGTAAGTGTTTTTTATTTGAGTATTTGTCTTAAAGTTTCCTTTTTTCCACCATTGAAAATATATAACTTATATACCTCAGTTAGCTGAGTATAGTTAACAGTTGGTAATAAAACGTGCTGAACTGTACACATGATGTGACATAATAAGGTGAAATCAAGCAGTTAAGAGGGATCTCGATTATATTGTCTTTGTACTTCAGAGCTATGGCTATTCTTAAAGATTTTCTTGAACTGTATGTACATTAGCGTTTCGTTCATCCCCTTTCGCTAACATAGCCATAGTTTCAAAATTCGTTGAATTTTCTCTTCAGTCTACTTTCATTCACTTTCTTACGACTTGGGTTAATCACCCTAGTATGCAACTTCTCAGCTGTACGCACATATGACTCCTCTAGGGATTGAGCCCAGATGGAGTAAGCCATGTCGGATATGAAAGTATTTACTCAACGACGGGATTGTATGGGAGTCAAAATTTATCATGACTTGGCAGGAGTAAGAAAATATCGGCTAGCGGATTCAGACCCAGTAGCTCAATGGCAACGTGCTCGCTTCGAAACCTGGCGAGATCATGGGTGTGCGGTGCTGGTGCGTCTCACTTAAGGATGAAACAGTTATTCACTACTTCCAGGTCTTCAATGTTTTCCCATGATGAATACCGATTTAGATTCCACTTCAGTTGGTGGCTTATCGTAAACCCTCTAGTCTGTTATTCACTACAATACAATACTATCTTATATATACAGAAACTACAAGGAAAAACATATAACCAGAGCTATGTCATGTACAATAGATTTCGTTGACAGACTGGCCTCATATCACTAACTGAGTGATTGGTGGAGGCCTTCACAGCCAGGCCTAATTTGTAAGTTTTTCGCCAGGATTAAAATAATAAAACAATATATTTCTTCTTAGCATTAATCACCTCAATAATAATGCATATGCATTTTTAGTAAGATGAAAATCTGGACTGCAGCCAGATTCGAACCGGCGACCACCGGGTTTCCTGACCGATTCTCGACCAACTGAGCTACGAGGTCCGACTGCTGACCAGATTTTTGTTTCACTTCAATCGCCAAGGGTTTTTCCCGACTACCATGGCTACTGTCAACGTTTGCTTCAAACTCTGCTAAACGTCCCACATAGTCTAATCCTTCTATTGAAGTAGTTCCCGCACTTAAAAGGAATAGATTCTCGTCTTTGATGTTCAGGGACAGAATCGACATGCGTTTACTTCAAGAATTCTTCTCAGCTGCTTTGCAGCCTGTAGAATATAATGTTTTCGACAAAAAAGCAGAATATACTTTGTACTAACGTAGACATGACAAGGTTGCGTCAAAAGTGCGCTGTAAACTTTCTTTTACGTTACAGACATTATCCTCCATGGGTTTTAAGGCAGCTGATGAGGATCCGTGAATTATGCACATTTTAATTCCGCTACCATTTTTATTCTTGTTACATTCAAGTTCTTAAACAGGAACAACCGTTAGAAGGGTATTATTTATTTTACACAAAGTTTTCACCTACTTATTTCAAAATTCAGTAGTTCATATTTGTGACTATATTTGTTTGTCCTTCAGGAGATTTATGAGATACAGAGCTCTATTAACCTCTGGTGATTCAAATCTTTTATCCAACACCTTAACCACTTCCCCGCTACCCGAGAAGAAATCAGTGACCAGTCCAAACGGTGAAACGTCTAAATTAGATTCCGTAGAGTCGAATAACGTTCCATGTCAGAGCCAATCACCAACCAGTGAACATATTCAACAATCGCCTCTTCCCAATGTCTCCTATACCGGTCCAGTTTTTGGTCAGTCACTATCCAGCTGGCAACGTCGATTAGGTTATCCTCTTCCGCCAGCTGTTGTACACATGATGGATCACTTGGAAATGAATGGAACTACAGCCATGGAATATTTAGGCGGCCTGGTGGGAAATTAAGGATGTTAGCATTAAGAGAAGAAATCGAACAAGATATAAGTAAGAATATACATTTTTCGTTGCAATACTTTTAGTTAAATGGTTAGCTTTTGAAAATCCTATTTGGTTTATAATCAATGATTTTCTTCTTATGTCCTCGAATTTTGTGCCAACTGGAAAACATATTTAAAGCAAATCCATGATTTTGGTAATCATCAAGTCTTCGAATTCGGTATATCAGCTCTAAAGTTGTGTCAAATATCTTTGTTGACTGATCCCTAGATGGAATTCTAATGCATGATGAAAACTTACTAAAACATACCTGTTTCCTGAAGATATCTGGTGAATTGCATTGGTATATTCGAGTTAAACTGGGTGACATTTGAACGTGAGATGAAAATCCTAGCCACTGCTGGATCCGAACCAGCGACCGCTGGGCTATCGGCCAACTCCTCTACCAACTGAGCTACGAGGTCGGCCAGGGTTTTATTTCACTTCAATCACCAAGGTTTTGGCCGACAACCAAGTGAATTGGTGACGCGTTACTACCGTTTGGTCGTATTTACACTGTCTGCCTAGTCAAGGATTGTCATCCGAATCCAAACTTAACTGATAGGAGAGGGAGAGCATCATATTGATTATCGTTTTGACTATCTGAGATTATACTGGGTGATGACTGAAAGTGAAATGAAAATTTGGACTGAGACCGGGTTCGAAACGGCGATCAATATGTTAATCATTGTTAGTGTCAGTGATACGTAATTCTGGTGCATCAATGAAGAATTAAGGGGAAAGAACTTCAACCACTGAGAAGTTCTGACTAGGCGGCCGGTGTGAATACGATCAAGCTGTAGTAACGAGTCACGAATTCACATGGTTGTCGGGCAAAACACTTAGTGACTGAAGTGAAATAAAATTCTGGTCAGCAGTCGAACCTCGAAGCTGAGTTAGTAGAGTACCGGACTAGTAACCCGGTAGTCGCCGGTTCGAATCGGGCCGTGGTCACGATTTTCATCTCACGTTCAACCATCATCCAGTATGAGTACTAGTCTGCCAAACTACGGCAATCTCATATAGTCAAATGATATTCGAGTCGGTATACTCGAAGTACTACCTGGATGGATTTCACCAGGTCATCTTGGTCAAGAGAAATCAACATCATACATTGAACTATTCTGCATAACATGTCCAACATTCTAAGTTCTATTTTCTGTTTTTCCTGAAGGTAAAACCTTTTAAATTTACACTTTAACTACTTATGAGTAGTTTACCTATTTGCTGTTAATTTCACAAGGCGAATTGTATCAACCTTGTGGTTGAGTATTATTCAACTAAGCACATATGAGATGAGATAACGAATATTATTTATAAACAGTTTATTCTACGCATCGTATAAGGTGTATTGTACTTGTGTAATCCTGGCGTATTATATAAGAACAAATACTACAATAAATATTTCGTATTATTCCTCAGCATCAAGCATCTACATCAGAAGAAATAAGATAGTTACAACATCAGGGTATTCTGTAAAGTGATGAACACTATATTCTCACATCCGCCCAAATTAAAAATCCCGACTTCCCAGTTGGGACAGTAGAACTGTATGCGATGACATATATATTGGAGAGACATCGTGTAACACGCCTAACCGAACATGGTTGAAAAAGCTCTCCCATCGCTATTCATGTCTTATATCCAGGTCATAAAGGGCGAAAGTCTTGCAAAGGAGTTTCCTTCCACAAAAGGAGTGAGCCATTCCAGAATTTTCGCTCACCTGCTAGTACCCTTTTGTGATCAACTGAAAAGATGGGTTAGATATCCCACAAGCATGGCAAAATACTAATGACTCGCACAGACAATTCCAAATAATATACAAGCAAGAAGGTTGAACACAACTTCATGTCATACTGTTCCGTATGATTTATTCCAAATGCATCCATTTTTGAATAGTTTCTGGTTTCATTTCAGCTAATCATCTTCATCTTTTCAAAAAACACTAGTTTCATTCTGCCAACTTGTCTAATTCCATTATATGATACCTTCATTATATATTATTATTATTACTATTATTATTATTATTAATGAATATTCACTGTCCAATTCTCAAATATTCATTTTCCAAATAGTAAATTCTCACTGCCCGCCCCAATGACTTCTGACTCCATCGTACTTTTCCTAGTCGAACTAAATTTCCCCACCCTGTTTTTATTCTACCTTACTTGCACAACTGGAATAAGCCTCTCTAACCAATTCGCTAGTTCACTCACACACATTTCATTGATCTTTGTTCGATATCACAATGTAATTGGATGATCGTAAAGGATACCTTCTATATCACACTTGAAAGCCTAATCGGTGAGGCTATAAGTCAACCCAGTTATTATGACACGTTTTGTGTGAAATTGTGCATTTTCTATTTTCTTTGTGGATGTATTTTGAAGTGAGAACTTCAAAATTAAGTTCATTGAACCTGTAGAGAAGAGTGTAATAGTACCATCAGTGATTGGAGACCAATGGAGTTCATAGATCAAATATACAATTAGTTAGTTGCTTGTATTACACCTTGGTTGATTAGACCGAATTGATCGGTCCCTGTTGCCATATGGACTCCTGTACGGATGCCTCGATATTACCTGTGTTCTAATTATAGTAATAATGGGTAGTGGCTAGCAGTGGAATCAGGATGCGCATTTGGTCCTATTTGGGACTCGTCAGCCGGATTTGCCTGCCTCCCAGTGGGTGATGTTGTGGCTCGGTGGTGTAGTGGATAACGTTCTGGCGTTCGAAGTGGTCGCTTCCGAATCCGAATCCCTGTGGGAATAACGTTACTCACTGGGAGGCAGGCAAATCCAGCTGATGAGTCCCAGACAGGTCGAAATGCGCATCCTGGATTCCACTACAAGCCACTATCCATCATTACTAGAAATATGCAATTATCATTAAAGTTAGGCATCCGCCGTCATAGGTTTAAAACTTAGAAGGTGAGATGTTTTCTTGCAAGCAATGTATTCATCTTGTTGTGTAACTTGGAGACCATTTCAAGCTTAGATTGTATTTAACTCTACTAATGAGAAGTATGTATTTTCCCTTTCCAAGCTTACTGGAAACAGGCTGCGATTTGATTTAACCTTGGGGATGTAAAAAGTCGGACAAAATACAAACCACCCCACCCTGAAATTGCTTTCCCGGTACCTACTTGTTTTTAACTGATGCGTTTTTGATAAATTTGTAATTTTGTACTGAATAGGTGAGAATAACTGAATTCCGACTGTTATTAGGAGCTATATTAGTGGTATAAATATTTAAGCGATCACAGGGCGGTATGGAACAGCTCAATGTTAGATGGTTGATTTACTTTCGTCAACCAATTACTCAAACTCAACATGTTCTCTTAGAAACTGTACTTCCAAGCTGTATAAGATCAAGCATAGACAATCTTAAGGTGCTCTGTGATTCTCAGTGGTGGCGAGACCATTACGCCCATCTAATAACAATAATTTACTCATAAACATGAAATTCAGCACGACCTCGTAGTTATATTGAGTTGACGTTATTAATTTACCACTGGTAATCGTTCCGATTGGGTTTTTTTTTACCTCTTTATTTTGTTCAACAGATTGGAAGAAATTTGATGACTGGCAACCATATGATATAGCCGATTTATTAAAACAATTCTTTCGTGAACTACCGGAGTGTTTATTCACCAGTAAATTGGCAACAGTACTTGTGAATGTTTACGTATGTAAGTTTCATTATTGCTTTACGGTGAATTTCGATCACTCTATGTCTAGTTAGTTAAGTGGTTTTCAGTCTTCTAGATAGTGTACTCCAAGATTAGGTCTTAAACTTCATAACGTCTTTCTGGTATCAACCTCTTGACCGTCAAATCTGTGAATAATCACTTCACATGTTATTTACAAAATGCACTTTTCGTATTAAACAGTTTCTTCAACTTTCCAATGGAGGTGTCAATGAGGTCTTTGTTGTGAATGTTCTAGACAAGATAACAAAGGGTGGTCTGTGACCCAGAAGTATCATGAGATAACGAAATATACGGCTTAACAGCGGGAGTAGTTAGAGACTACCCACGCTGATCTACACCAGACAGTTAGCCAGATTAGATTGATCTGACCACTAGATAGTCGTTTCTATCTTTTGGGTCACTTCTGACACGCACGCAAACACGCACAGTGGTTCGAATCCTGTCGAGGTCGAGATTTTCATGTCACCTTCAATCATCACCCAGTATCAACGCACACCTTTTAATCCTGATTGATTGGCTTCCAATAGAGACACTGTTATCACCACAGCTGGACAGTTGAAGAAAGTGGTCAAGGGAGGATTGTCACCCATTGGATAGAATTCTGAAGAATACATACTTGATCCTAGTAATCAAGCACCAGTAAACAGTCAATGAGGAGTGATGGTTGAATCTTGCTTGTAAAAGAACCAAGATGTGAAGGTAGTGCCAAGGTCATCCATAGCTTCTCCATTTTCATCATTGAGTTTTCACATCATGTCAGTTCATGATGAAAATTATCTTAATGTTCGAAGATCGGAGGATTTCTCTAAAAGGCAAACTTCTACAAGAGAACAACCATTCCTTTTTGATGATTGCCTATGTCAGTATGTTCTACCGAAGAGTATTGACTGTCCAGTGGGATGGAAAATAGTTGAACAAAGTGGAAGACAAGTGGTACGAAATTCGGACTTTAAAAATGGTTTCCTGGGAACTTCCTACAGTCATTCACCGGCACTTCATCACTTTGAGGCATAATCGTTACTATTTTCGCGACTGTTCAGGTCAGTAGCTATATATACTGCTCACAAAGCTGATAGCTAATCAATGCTTTCTGACCTTTATCCTATGGTGAATCATTTTTATCTTACATAACTTGATCAGGTTATGTAAAACGTTTTAGGCCTTTTAAGTAGATAAACATTGGCTTTCTTTCTGAGTTAGTTCATGTGATGGGTAATCGTATATGAGTGGAATTAGGGCATACCAAGTATGTCAGAGTAATTATGAGTAGTGGCTAACAGTGGGTTCCAGGACGCTCGTTTCATCTTATTTAAGACTCGTCATCTGTAAGTATCTACTTTCTAGTGGGTAATATTATTTCCACCAAGACTCGAACCCAGAACCGATCGCGTTAAACATTAATGGGTTATCCACAAGGCTACTTGACATCAATAGCTATTCTTTGTACGACGGATATAGTATAATTTAGTCCTAGAATTTTAGTGGGGACAACATCACTCACTAGAAGACAGGTACATCCAGCTGACGAGTTCCAAATAGGGTGAAACGCACGTCCTGAATTCCACTGCTAGCCACCGGCAATAGCGACAGATTCAAAGGGGCCCATATGCCAGTAGTGGGTGGTCGTTTCGGTCCAATCAAAGACGGAGATCTGTAATCTGTAACATCGAAGATTAGGCTGGAGTTTATAAAGCGAATAAGGAGAAAACGACTCAGATGGGATATAAAAGTTAAGTGATTGAATTGGAGACATAATAACTTGATTAATGAATGTTCCAAAAACAAGAAATTCAGCGAATAGTACTCTTTTCAACGAATCTATTCCCAAGCTGTACATTGGCATATATGTAAATGGTATTTAAAGATTGCAGTCAACGAAGAAGAATAAATTTCAAGTAACGGGAGATTGAAATTACAATATGCGGTGAGTGACCGAATAATACGAAATGCAAAAAACATAATAGTTACGTAATGGTTTTGAGTCGTTCACAGGGCGCGTATAGATTACAAAGAAGCGAAAACATGGTAGAGCTAATTAACAACTAAAGGATTAGGTAATACGAATGAGACAAGCTAACTGAGATAAAATGAAAGTGTTTTTATATGCCTGTTGACAGTAGTCTTTGGTCAAGGACTATGTAATTGCGAGCTGTTGATATTGAAGGATCAGGGTCATAGCAACAGTTTGACTGCATTCCTCAATTCACAGAAAAGTAAACACAGGATCTCTTTCAATCTAGAGGCTTGTGGACATTTGTTGATTGGTTTCAGATTGGAATTTATCATGGACTGACATCTGCTGGAGAAACATTGGAAACCCTTGAGCACTGGACAACCGTTTCGTCCTAATATGGGACTACTCAGCAGTCGAACCCATGACTTTGCCCTTAAGGGGTCGAACTCAGGACCTTCAGGTTCCGTCCCCAGCATGTTACCAGTGAGCCGCTGAGTCAAAATTCAATGGTTCACCAGAATCTCTTTCTTCGGAACAGTATGAGCTTTAATTTACTTGGTGGTTTGAGGCAATGATGAGATATGTACAAATACAACCAAGCGGAACCAGCTCAAGAACTATCCTGATATTAGTCCTAAATTATTAGTTTAGAGGTTAGACTCAAAGTCTTAGATGAAAGAGGCAAGCTATTTGTTCAGATTTTAACCGTTTGCCGAGTGTCTTCCCTGAAACTCAACGTTATCTGAAGTTGGTTTAAGCCGAGAAAAAATTAAAGGGAGCAGATTAAAACATGACACCGGTCCATGCCGTCTCTGGCTGTTTATCTAAGCCGAGATGAGGAATGTGAAATTCGTGGTTGGGTCTGCATGACAGTTGAGATTCATGGCTTTCGATTATGTGATATAGTTCAGAATGGACTACAGTGATACTAATACATCCACACATCTTGATGTACTGATGTTGAGGTATTGTAATTTGGACCATCGCATAGTAAGTTCAGACGATAAGTTAATGCTGATTCACCGAATGATCAATGGGGCAACACAAAAAAGAGGAACATTCGTATCCTCTCGAAAATTCTAATTCAAACATCGTAGTTGTATAGAGTGTTCTTGAAAAATATTGACCTGAGTCACTAACTAAAGTTGTTAATATTTCAAAGCAAACAGAGAGGGAAACAAGAAAATAATTCCTCATTAACGGAAAAATTACATGAATTAGCACAAAAAGTGGTATTACAAAATTATACTCCTCAAATTATACGAGGTTGCTGATGAAATAATTTATAGAATGCTCATAAAAGAAACTACAGTTGTCGAAGACTGCTGAATGTTGAATATGTTTAATGTATATTTGTGAAATGATTGTTTCAATTGACTGTAACCAAAATTACTCCTCTTTCTAACACCTTCTTTGGATGAGTAGGCAGTGGTCTTCTAGAAGATCATACTTTGGATCCAAATTGTCTGCCGATACAAGTATTTGGGTTCTGACTATGCACTATAAAAGTCTAAGTCTGACATAGGTCACGGATTCTATTGTAATATTGACTGTTTGGATAAATATTGTTAAGACCATTATGGAGACAAGTGTTTCATCAATAACTTTCCTCTTAATCAACTTGACAACAATATCAGTATCTCTTTAGAGCCAACTGATATTCATTCACGAATTTCTCTTTAAGAATTTGGAAAGATGAAGAACAATAATGAGAGTAGGTATCCTCTAGATTGGTTATGAACATATTCACCAATACAGAACCTAGAGGATTGCCCATAGCTACACCTGTCGGTAGAGTTTATTGTTAAATTGGGACTGAAAATTCTTTGTACACATAAGTGGAAGGGGATAGGATATCTATGGTTTCTTGAAGACTTATGTTTATGAATAAGGAAGCTATATCAAACGTTACCATAAACTTCAAGTATTTGACAAATCGAAAGAAGTTGTAACTTTTCAGTCATCCAACGGACTAGTATGTGATAAAGTGTACTAATCACAATACATTAGGTCTGGTTATGTATCTTTGGTAATCCATACATCTACGGCAGACGAAACCCTTTGGGCTTCCAACCATTGTTATTCTTACTATTTTCAAACTCATATACAACTGATACAGTGTTAAAGGATTCATACGTCGTCTCAAATACCAACATTATCTATATCTTTCCAGTCAGAGTAAGTTTTTGAACATTGAACTGGTGGAAGTTTCAGTTTGCGGAATAGTTTAATTACTGGCATCACAATAAAACAGAACGAAGTGTCTCAGTGAGATAATCGTTTTCATACATATTTCGATTATATAAAGTTATTTCCTGGTACTTTTACTTAATGCTTAACTCTTACTCATTAGGTGTTCCAAACTCAGTTCAAATTGATCTTTTGCGTTGGATATTGATAAGCCTACCAGATGAAAATCGTGTTGTCTTACAAAAGTTGTTATACTTACTCAACCATTTATCTCGTCATAGTGATGTAACTGAGGTCAGTGATGATCATTTTTCAAGCTTTTACTTGTCATTTTGTGGGTTTCACTATGTACATTCATTAGCTTAAAGTCTTTTTGGTTTCATATGTGCGTTAATAATGGTCATTCCCGTGTTTTGACTGAACTTTTCTGTTCTCTTTTATGAGTTTATCAGTCAGTAACGTTGTTTATTGCTAGGTATGTTATTGATTGAAACAGTTCATTGACTACCATGTATAGTTCTCGGATTTTTGAGGCATGTAAATATTCGAGAAACACCAAAAACTACCGTACCAGTTGCTTAGATAACTAATTATGGTCGCCTATTTTGTGAAAGACTAACTTCCCAGTCGAAATACCAAAACTCGATTGGTTATTTCATTAGGGGTGGGAGTGGGCAGAAGTCACTTTTGCACTGGACACTTTTAAGTTGCAAATTACATGTATAGATAGGATGTTGGAGTATGACTGGAGTTCTGATTGGTTTGACTAAGCTACTTATCCTAGCAACAGGAGTTTTCCATGTGTTTGCCAATTTACACATTCAGCTTTAAGCTGTGCTGGTAACAAAGATATAAGACAGTGGTACTAAAGGGATACAACGAAGTTTTGAGTTCTCTGCCTGGTGTCGGTAACGAGTGAGATGTTTGCGCAAATCCGAAGAATCAATACTGTTCCAGAAACTCGAACGTGTATAACTAAGTGCCGGTAGTCGAATGACGATTAACCTCTGACAAATCAGGATTTCATACAGGCAGTGATTATCAGAATTAACCCATGTCACACTACCTAGTTGGTTAGTGCTGCAAAAGATTATATTGTTTAGCTTTACAGAGTGATTCATGGACCAGGTGACTTAGCTTGATTATGAGGTGTTCAGGAGTTATCGACAGGAAGCTATTGATATGTCCAGGTATACTGACTAAAGCTTCAGCATAATAAATACGCTACAAAACGGCCTAATCATAGTAAATTAGCTTTATTTTAGGTTGGAATTCATCATAAGTTGGAGGAACACTGGAAACCTGTGAGCACTGGACAGCTGTTTCGTCCTAGCATGGGACTTCTTAGCAGTGCTCACCCATGACCCCGCCTCCCCGGTGATCGAGCCCAGGAGCTTCAAGTTCCGTGGCCAGCACGTAACCATTGAATCACTGGTAGGAAATAGGGATTACCGAGTTCCGACTTTGTGGCTCAATGGTAACATGCTTGCCATGAAGCCCGAAGGTCCTGGCGAGGCGGTGTCATGGGTGCGTACTTCTGTAGAGTCCCATACTAGGGCGAAACAGCTGTCTGGTGCTGCCACGTTTCCAATGTTCCTCGAACTGATGTCAGTCCACAATGAATTCCAACTTGAAACCAATTAATAAACCTCTAGTTAAAACTAGCTTTATCTTTTAATGGGAAGTCTGTGAAAATCCTGTGCAGAAAACAGTCCGAAGAAACAGATTTGAAGTATACTACTAATGAACAAGTTGAGTAGTTAGCATTCTAATCGGGCTGATCTGTATATTTCGCCAGGTAACCAACTCAGGGTGATCTAAACACCAGACTAGAACAAACATTTCTCAGGCAGAGAAATGTATATCTACTCAGTTAGTCTGGTGTACGGTCGTTTCTAAACGACTAATCTGTAGTCACTGCATAGGTCAATCTAGCAAATTGTAAATGCCTTACCTATATTTCATCACTGAAGCCTTTCACATTGTGATAAAATCCTGCTGAGCCTTTTTTAATTTTCGCTCGTTTTACTGAATGCTAGATCGTTTTAAAGAGCTACTTTTACAAGAGTAAGATTCTGGAAATCAACAAATTGACATAGTCTAACATTGTGTTAGTCTATTTCATAATGACTGTGTAGTGTTTAACACTCATGACTGAGTACATGGTTATGGTGTCTCCAGTGGACTTGTGGCTCGTCGATTTAGGGAGTTGACTTTCAACCAGTGGCTTGTCAGTTGCAACATTCCTCCACCTAGCAAAGTTGGGTCAGCCAGCTAGTATCATTAGATGTGGCTCATTGGCTACTGGATGGTTATGCACAAAGCTGTTGAGTGGATTTCGAATCCGATTCAAATTCCGGTTAAAGCTGAAGGAGCAGAAGATTAGTTAACCAAGCACTACCAATATCCAGCATGTTATCATATAAGCTTCATATGGGATTCTGGAACAAAGAATATCACAATGAATGAAGAGAACAATTTAAACTGTCCTCGAAATGACTCATTTCACTCACACACACTGTTTGAACGGAATACTGAGCACTAACATCAATCACACCATATAGAGTTTACCTGGCAACATATTGGATACCAGTATGGTTAGCAAGCTTCTCATGATAGAAGCGGAATTGATTGGTTCACAACATAAGAAGCCAGAAGATAAATTGGAGGAAGTTGATGGAGAACAGAGTTAGACAAAGAACCTGTGTAACCTTTCTACAAAGATAAAGTTTTACAGTTTTTAATATTTTATTAGTACTGAGTATAGTCTCTTCAGAAACCCGTACGAAATTCCTAACTAAAGCTTTATCTCTCATTGCTTGTATAAAATAATCATCATTTCAATGTTTTACATTTTCAGATGAGTGCTAGTAATCTGGCTGTTTGTTTTGCTCCATCACTTTATCGATTAATCAAACCACCAACATTGTCCAATCAAGGTGTAAGCCTTAGTCCACGACGTCTACGACGAACAACTAGTGGACCAGATCCAAAAGATTTAGCTGATCAACGTGCTGCTCAATTGAGTTTAAGTGCAATGATCACCTTAGCTCCAAGTCTATTTCAAGTAAGCGAAAATTTAAACCTTTTCCCCTTATATTGTATACAAGATTGACAAATTCTCAACTGGTATTTCATATAGTAAGTTAACAGATCATTTTGGGGCAGAGTTATTCTGTTAGTCACTCCCCTAGGTCAGTCAGACGACTAAATCTCCCTAAGGTAGGTAATGATAGGACTTATCTCATGTGTTCTGTTTTTAATCTTTGTTAGAACATCCCATGTGAAGTGTGAAGCGAGATCAACAAGTCCACATTTTCAGTGGTTTCAAAAAAGCCCCTTCCACCAGTGCATAGATATCCTCATTTGTGAACAATTACTAATTTGGTTCTTGAATCTGGGAATAATCAGTTGGCTTGAGGTTCAGTTTAGACGGTGAGTAATAACTAGTTGATCATCAATCACTACGTCAACCATATCAATTTCGGGGCCTAAAGTTTCCTATTTGACTAGCAGTTGAGCTGAAGCTGACTGATTTAGGCAGTTGACTTTCAACTAGCAGATAGTTCGCGGGTTCCAACCATGCACCACCTACCGAAGTTTGGATAGTCAGGTGGCTGTGTGATTCACTGTCTTCTGCATGGTGTGCATAAAGTTGTTGAGTACACCTTGATATCTCTCTCTTGTACATGGGTGCAACTTGACCACCAATCTACTGCTTAGTTAATCTGAATATCACTACAGTACAATCTACAGACAAACACTCTCTTAGCCCTTAGAAGAAAAGCATATTGAGCAAACACATAAACTAAGCTTTTTTAATTTAAGGGTTTGTGGGGATTTAGTGATTTTTCGAGCTGGAGGAATATCAGAAAACTTAAAGCACGATGACTCCTTAGCAGTGCGTACCCATGACCCCACCTCTCCAGGGATCGAACCCTGAACCTTCAGGTTCCGCAGTCTGCATGTTTTTTGAATCTTGTTGATCTTCGTCAGCAGTGTATATGTGCAATCTAAATGGTCAACCTGTATGGCTGATATAAACGATTTGTGTAACCGTATATATTTTCTTACTGGTCAACTATATTTGTTTACTTTCTTTACTGTTTCCCTATAGATCTCATGCTCTCTCCTAAATCATTCAACTCTGTTGACTAGTTTGACTCCATCACCTCCAGATTTAGAATCAATCATTCCAAATGGTGACTGGCCACAATGGATACAAAATTCACTGAGTGATTTAATACGTGAATGCTCTTCATCAAAGTCTAAAGGTTGGAATGTAGTCAGTCGTGATGCTATGAAATGTTACGGCGTTGAGTAAGGGAAACGCATTACTTTGAGTATACTCATAGTTAATTTATGTATCTCGTTTAAGTTTTTATATTTCTATCAATGGCTAAACTTTCAACTGCATAAGTCATATCCATTCGATCGAAAAGTAACGATTTTAATACAGCAATATAAGTTTCGCAGTTCAAATTAAAACATCAACAAAATTACTATTACTTGCCTATTAAGTTCCTAGGGGAACATAGGATTTCAGTAACACGTCACCATTCAGCCCTATTCTATACAGTCTTTTCAACGTGGCTCCATCACTAACCATCAACTTTCATTTCTTTCTCACACCATCACAACTATGCCACTATCCAACGCCCAACTCATTGATTCCTATACAGGTTACACTCGACGGCCTGGTCTGGTCTGCCGCGTGATGTCCCCAATCGGTCTTCTCAGTCTATATCCAATCCATCTCCACTTTCTTCTGCATATTTGTTGAGCGACACGTTCTTGCTTCGTTGGTTCGTTGCCAGCCAGCCAGCCAGCCAGCCAGCCAGCCAACCAGCCAGCCACAGTTCCTCCTTGCTTATTCTTATTATTCTCCCCATCCATCTCATCTCCATCTACACTATCGAGTGAGCATAGGCGGCAGCTGTCCATGTATGATGTATGTCTGCAGTTTGTTAGAAATGCTTTTCGTAACACACCAATTCTTTCAGCTACCATACAGAAGCACTGATTTGCTTGACTCAATTAGTGTTGAGAATCCGGATGTGTTCACGCTTTATGCTGAGTGTAGTGTAGTGTAGTGTAGTGTAATGTAGTGTAGTGTAGTGTAGTGTAGTGTAGTGTAGTGTAGTGTAGTGTAGTGTAGTAGATCTTCGCACTGTTTATTTCAGATTAATGAAAGAAGGCCTGTCTTGTCTTGGTGTGTTTCCGATGTTTCCTAGTGACTTAGCAACTGAACTACAAAGCCACCAACACGGTCATCTGAGATAGTCAAAATGATAATCATTATGTTACTCCCCCTCTCCAATTCAATTACAGTCGGATTGGGATGAGTACGATCAAGTGGCAGTAACGCATCACAAATTCACATGGTAATCAACCAAAACACTTGGTGATCAGCTGAATTAAAATAAAATCCTACTCATCAGTCGGACCTCGCAGCTCAGTTGGTTGAGCAACAGACCAGAAAACCGGTAGTCACTGCTTCGACTACCGTCGTGGTTCAAATCTTCATCCCACCCTCAATCATCACCCAGTATCAATACTGAGAGTCTGTCAAACCATGACTATCTCACTTTCCGAGAAATAAAAATTAGGAAAACTGAACACCGAAGAACTCTTACCCGACACCCTCAAAATCCACTGGAACTGTAAAAAATTGACAATACTTCAACCATAGCTCTACATACTATAATTTCAGGTCACAAGATCGATTTTGACAATATCGAAGTTATTGAGAAGGGCTTTGAAAATGATAGAGAACGTCTCCTAACAGAATCTCTTCACATAAAGTGGAATCAAAATTAACGAGATGGGAACAAGGGAATAAAACGTAGTTTGACCTCGTCACAATCCACACTCACATACTCACATACTCACATAATCAACATACATTAATGCGATAAGAATTATAAGCACATGTGTATACACAAATCTCAATATATAGTTTTTACACATTCTTCACACACAGTATACTACAGATGAACATCATCTTTATTCTACAATTCTGACAACGCAGAATCATTCACGCAGTAGAACACTTATCAAGTTGTCAAGTTGTTATTCATCGAAGACTGACATCAGTTGGAGGAACAAAGGAAACCTGGGAGCACTGGACAGCTGTTTCGTCCTAGTATGGGACTCCTCAGTTATCATTTTGACTATCTGAAATAAACAGTGTGGAGATCTACTGCACTACACTACACTACACTACACTACACTCAGCATAAAGCGTGAACAACATCCGGATTCTCAACACTAATTGAGTCAAGCAAATCAGTGCTTCTGTATGGTAGCTGAAAGAATTGGTGTGTTACGAAAAGCATTTCTAACAAACTGCAGACATACATCATACATGGACAGCTGCCGCCTATGCTCACTCGATAGTGAAGATGGAGATGAGATGGATGGGGAGAATAATAAGAATAAGCAAGGAGGAACTGTGGCTGGCTGGCTGGCTGGCTGGCTGGCTGGCTGGCTGGCTGGCTGGCTGGCTGGCTGCTGGCTGGCTGGCTGGCTGGCTGCTGGCTGGCTGGCTGGTGCTGGCTGGCTGGCTGGCTGGCTGGCTGGCTGGCTGGCTGGCAACGAACCAACGAAGCAAGAACGTGTCGCTCAACAAATATGCAGAAGAAAGTGGAGATGGATTGGATATAGACTGAGAAGACCGATTGGGGACATCACGCGGCAGACCAGACCAGGCCGTCGAGTGTAACCTGTATAGGAATCAATGAGTTGGGCGTTGGATAGTGGCATAGTTGTGATGGTGTGAGAAAGAAATGAAAGTTGATGGTTAGTGATGGAGCCACGTTGAAAAGACTGTATAGAATAGGGCTGAATGGTGACGTGTTACTGAAATCCTATGTTCCCCTAGGAACCCAATCGACAAATAATAATTATAAAACTTCTGGATGCATACCTTTTTAATACGCTTAGAATTAACTTATCATTATGGTATAGTCATGGATGACAGACATGGTTACTAGTACTTGCTGTTTTCGTCGTCTGATTGATAATATTGTTTGTAAACGTGTTTGGCATCCATTTTCCAGTTAAACATATTTCACTACTGAGATTCCACTTCTGAAATTGTTTTGGTAGTTTCAAGTTTTTGTTTCCAAGGCAGCAATGAGGAATAAAATCATAGCTATAGTGGTGCTAAAGTGGGTGGCTAGCGTTTATTGTGCAAAATAAGTGCACGTATGTATACATTATTGATTATCAATATATGAATCCTTGAAAAATGTGACTGTTTTCTACATTTCCTTCTTCTTTCTTCCAGTTCTGGAGCTAATGAAATGTTGGATGGCTTTGAAGTTCACTACAAAAAGGTGCCTAACTCAACCGAAACAAAAGCCACACCGAACAACTTACGTTTATGGCGTTGTTCCATTCACATACCTGAGTCGAGTCCACGTGTTATATTGAATCGATTCTCTCAAAATAGGTTAGTTCAATACAGTAAAGTAGTCAGTTGTTTGATGGTTGTGACTATTAATGTTATGAAGGAGACTGCGTGTAGTGGCCACATTGCGATATCAAACTAGGAAGCATTTTCAACAGAGAGATACAGCGAATTGTACTGATAGACGTAATTCATTCTAGTGGTTTTTTGACTAAATTCCACACATCAAGCTTGCGATACAGCTAACAAAATCATTTACTGATTGTCATGGTTTACCTTTCTTATTCTTAGAAGGCTCTCGGAAGTCAACTGAAAGTTCTTTTTGCCTATTGGCACTCGGAAGTGATGCATAAACCATCCACATGGGATTCCCTGCTTCTCCGGCACTCAAAGGAAAGCTTGAATTCCTTCCCGGAAGTAGATAGGCTTTCTGATGAGTGTTAATAGACACTAAACCTGAGTCCGACATTGTGTTTTGTGTTTGCTGTTCGATCATTTTACATGAAATTTAGTCCGGATGTGGTGAAAATTTGCTGACTGTAGTAAGGATAAGTAGACATTAATGATACAAAATGGCTAGAGGTGTTATCCACGAAGTGTGTTTCATTTCGTTTGGGATTCTTCAGCCGAATGTACCCGCCTCCTAATGAGTAATTTTGTCATCACTAAAATTTGAACTTGACGTTGTTGCTTGTAAGTTTCCATTGTTGATTGGATCGAGTTGTTTGGTTACTATTTTCACACAACCTTTGACCAATTTTGCAAAGATTTATTCAAAATTAAGCTTAATTGAACACCGTTCTTGGTACGCTGAGTGAGCAGATGGAAGAGTCGTTTCAAGTGAAGATTGGAAAATAGGACCTATTGGTTGTTTTTTCATCTAATCCATCTCTGAATGTGATGGAACTTGAACAAAAAACTAGATACCAAGGGGATTTAGAAGGGGTATCAAACTGGGACAAAGTGAGTGTCCAGCACTCTTTATCTCGTATAACTGTCTATCACATATCACTTCGTGATGGAAAAATGTCTTTAAATTGAACAGCCTTCCACGAATCGAACAAATTTATGATCATCTTGTCGGAGTGGTATTGGATTGAGTTACCCTGTTCACAGTGTAGTGAACGAAGCGTATGAGCTGTGGTATAACGGATGATGGTTATAAGTAGAAGGCCATAAAACCTATGGTCTCAGACACACAGACAAATGGGCACAAGTATTCTTCTGTAGATAGCGGTTGGCCAGCTACAGTTGAAGTTACACAAATAGTCTGTGTGGCTTCCAGCGTAAAATCCCTGTTGACACTACAGTTGGGGAGTTGAAAATAACTACTCACCCTTGGAGAAGTGTCAACGTGAACCGTGCAATTTTTAAACTGGTTATCCTATTTTAGGTAAACCGGTCAGTCCACGCAATTCAGCTAGTCAACTTTAAGTGATCTGAACTAAGTTTGCTTTATGAATTGAATATGTCCGGATACACGACTGATGAGCTGACTCAGCCTCAAACAAGTGAAACGGCCATCCAGTGTTCCAAATACCCTGATCTGGCTACCTGGAGAAATGTAAAGATTAGCCTAAGTGGTTTGCTAACTATATTGCTTAATACTGGGTGATGATTGGAGTTGAAATGAAAATTTGAACCGCGGTCGGATTCGAACCAGCGACCAGCGGGTTTGCGGCCCGATGCTCTACCAACTGACCTACGGGTCCGACTGTTGACCAGATTTTTATTTCACTTCAACCGATCACCAAGAGTTTTGACTGACTACCATTCGAATCCGTGACCCAGTATCAATACTAGTCTACCAAACTATGGCTATCTCAGATAGTCAAAACGATAATCAATATGACCCTTCCCCTCTCTGATTCAGTTAGATTTGGATTGGGATGAGAAGTCCTGAGTAAGCAGCCAGTGTGAATATGATCAAACGGTAGTCGGGCAAAATCCTTGGTGATTGGATGAAGTGAAATCAAAATTTGGTCAGCAGTCGAGTCTCATAGCTCACTTGGTAGAGGATAGGGCTAGGGATACCGGTGGTCGCTGGTTCGAATCCGGCAGCGGACCAGATTTTCATTTCACCTTCATCACCCAATATAAATTCGAGTCTGTCAAACTAGGATTACCTCAGGTAGTCAAAATGATATACTGCTTAAGTTGTCAGCAATGGTATCTTACACAAAAATCTCTTTGTTTCGGATACAGAAGTGAGGGCAAACAAATATTGTATGCTTAATTTCCTCAATATTTATCTAACTGAACATCACTCGATGACTAGGCTTAATTGTCTACGCTTGCGCTGAATTTTCTGAAGCTGAGGGAACACATTCGACGGACACTTTTAAGCAAGTGATGAGATGACAGAATAACTTTTCAGCCTGTTTGATCTAAAGGTATTGGCAGTTTCGTATGTATGCCTCTGAAGCTGTCACTTGTTGTATAGCCGCGTAGAAAAGTATTTCAGCAGTGTTGATATGATTTAATAATATCCATTATTTATGGGATCCAATCACCAACCAGAAGTCTGTTACTCATCAGCGATTAATCAGTCCTACAGGAGGTTAATCACAATCAAAATAGCTCATTCGTAATATCCTTGATTGTATCACTCGTTAACGCTGATGTGTAAACGAATAGGGTCGTCATTTTCCTCCAGTTTACAGATACACTTTCCTGATGAGTGCAAAGAGGCGCTAAACGCCATTTTTTTTGTTTTCTTCAACACAACATGAGTTAAAGTGGACCACGATACTAAGCCGACTAGGTTGGTGAACACACTAGAAAATCAACGATAGGAATCGGTCAGACAATCCAACTCCTTAGCAACGAATGACTGTAAAGTAATATGTTATATACTCACCCTAAACATACTCTTTATTGTATATAGTCCAGTTACCTTTCTAAGTAGCCTTTAGATTTCTTCTGTTGTATAGTTCATTCATCAGAAAGTCTCAGTCTATTAATACACAGTGTTGATCTGAACGTTGAATAGAAAGTTAGTATATTGATGGTAATATATAGGTTCAAAACATATTTCATAAATCATCACATGTTCAATATCCAATGTAATTTACAATAAGAATGAAACTGAGAGTAGAAAGTAGACAGTTAAAGAGGTAAAGAATAGGAGTACGTACACTGTCTTTATATTCATTGAAAACCAAAATATGGTTTATAGCGATTTTGAATCTCAACTTCATTGAAAATTTGATCACTAATATTCCTTGAATCTCTATCTTGCTATATGTAGTGGATTTCGCTTGATAGCTAGGCATACCTTGACATCTGATTTCGAGTAACTCTTGACTGATTTATGCGGATTTTGCAGTTTCACAACTAGACCACGGTCAAAACATGTATAAACACTGAATCTTCTTCATTATGAGTTTAACTTTAGCTTTTCAGCTTTCTGAGAGTAAATGCTGTCAACAAGATCCTTATGTGAAGATCATTGAAGTGAGTCTCTAAGGCACAGATGGTCTAGCTAACCGTCAGGACTCCGTGCAGTGCAAGGGGGATCCAGGCTCCTAATTCCGGTAGTCACTGTTGTTGAAACAGTCCCCGGATACGGGAGTGGCTGGAAAGGAGCCACTGATGTGAATCTGTTGACACTATTGGTTCTGGGAATGTCTTTTCACGAAATGAGCTGCTTTTCGTTCTGCAAGATTGTGAGGACTCTGTAAGGTGTACCTCACGCATGTCTGTTCAAAGGGAGGTAAGTGCGATCCGTGAACTGATTGTCCGGGAAATGTGTAAGCTTTGAAGCCAGACAGTTGCAAGGGTTATGGGATTATACTGATCAATTTTGAGGGCGTGTTAACAGAATCCTTTGGCAGAAGTGTTTGTGTCTATGTGGAACCGTTACTGTTATGCTCCCTGCTTGGTAAATGAACTGATTCACCAGGTATGTCTTGGAATGTGGATAGATCTGAAAATCACCTGGAGCTTGGGGATGGGCCGAAAACTGGAGTGAAACCTTGTCATCTTTCAGCTTGCTGAGCTGAAATCGTGTGAAAATTTAATACATGCCTCAGATGAGTAAACCTTACTTCAGAAAAAAGTTCTTATTAGTTCTCGACGAATAAACATGAAGTTACATTTCAAGCCCTTCTATTTTACTCTTCATATCATAAAGTATTACTTATGCTTGAGTACATGAGATCTCGAATACTCTTTGTATATAAAGTATTTTATACACTATTTTAACTTTAAATGTAACAATAAGACTTGGTTGATGTTCACTTTGAGGGGGGTGAGGATTTATTGATTTCAAGTTGGTATTCATCATGAACTGACATCAGTTGGAGAAACAATGGAAACTTGGGAGTACTGGACAGCTGTTTCCTCCTAGTATGGGGCTCCTCGGCAGTGTGCTCGAAGCCAGAACCTTCAGGTTCCGTGGTCAGCACGTTACCATTGAGCCACTAGGTTGGGATCCAGTCGTCCATATTTCCAACTTCTGTCGGTTAGCAACATAGTGCGACCATCACCCAATGTCATCGTTGAGTATTTTTCCTTACATCCACCAGATCTTCCACTGGATTGGACCCTTGGATTCTGACCCAGTGTATCAATAATAACGTGATGGCCGTGGAATCTGAAGGTCCTAAGTTCCTTCTCTGGCAGGATCATGGGTGCACGCTGTTGAGGAGTCCCATACTAGGACGAAACAGCTGTCTAGTGCACCCAAGTTTACAATTTTCCTCCAGCTAATGTTTGTTCATGATGAATATTGTGCTAGTGTAGCAATCTATCTTAATTTGTCGGTTGGAGTTTAGAAAACACAGAAGACGATTCCTGTAAGGGAAAAATTTTCTTTCAATGAAATCTTTCTCTTAGCTGTAGATTCGTTAATAATATACTAGAAGTGATAGAACATTTGAAAGTAATTTTTAGTGAAAGGTTGATATAAATCGCATTGTGGTAGAATTTAATTCCGTATTAGATTTGTTTATTTGTTATATGGCACACAGTGATAGAGTATTATTTACTTGATGACGTTTCGAGTATAAATTGCCATTGCTCATAATCATATCAATGTA